ACCCGGTGCCAAGATGCCCTGTGCCATAGGCCTGTCACTTACGTGGGCAGGAGAGTCAGGCTGGCATTTGCCTTTCCAGACTCATGGTGAAAACTTAGGACTGGTCCGACTTTCTTGCCTCCCTGTCTCTGGGGAAAGGCAGCCTGGCCCTGGGGCAGGCGTGCTGTGTTCTTGGCCCCATTTTATCTCATGACAGCTGGTAAGGTTGGCACTGTTCTCCCCTTGTTGCAGAGAATGCATCGAGGTTCAGAGAAGTAAAGTGATTTGCCCAAGGTTGCACAGCTTTTAATGACAGAGTCAGGATCTGAACCAATGCCTGGTGCCTCCAGAAGTTGGACTTCTCCCAGGCACCCCCGCCCCATTTCTGGCCAGGCCCCAGGCTTCCTAGCAGTCCCTGGAGCTGCCAGTAATTGAGGGACAGAGGATGTGCCATCCCTGAAAACTCCATCTCCTGCAGAGTGGGGGTGAGCAAGGCTAAGTGGTGGGAGCCTGTGCTGCCCAGTGCAACCATCTGTGCTTGTAGTTGTGTTGGGGGGGGGGAGTGGTAGCATGAGGAGAGGCCTCGGAGGTGCATAACAGGTAGCCAAGCACTTCACCAGGGCTGGGCTGGAGTGGCCCTGGGGAGCAGGGACTCCCAGACACCAGGCTGCAACTGTTTCCCAATCCCTCTCTGGCTGGCCCTGCTCCCAGCCTCCTCCCACAGGGGCCAGGGACCTCATCCAGCAGGGGCGCCCTCCCGTTCTCAGCCCTGCACCCTCCACACTGATGCAAGCTCACAATTCTCCCATCCGGAAAATCTCCCCCTGGACCCGACCTTCAAATTTTCCCCGCACCTCCCACGACCTCATTTCCTTTCAAACCTGTGTTGGAAAGTGAGCCACCCCTAGCCCCTTCTCTCTCCTGCCACCAATCTGTCCCTCCTGCAGAAAACACTCGAGTCTCTTTGAAGTGCTTGCCTATCTGTGCCTGTGCGGGCCTAGGCTTCACAGGGATGCAAGCACATCCTGGAGAATTATCCCAAAGCAACCTCTGGGCATGGGGGAGATGCCTCTGCGCCTGGAGCTGCTTCAGCCACTCCAAGCAAGTCAGAGTCCTGCGGTCACTTACAGTCGCAGATGAGACCTAGTTCTTCAAGTCTCTAACCCTAAGTCACAGCCAGGATTTGGAACTGATTGACACTGAGCCCATTCCAAAGCCATCGGGGGTGAGAGTAAGGGGCGAGGGCCCTCTTCTCTCCTTCCCCCCTCAGATCCCTGCTTCAAGCCTCCCCACGTGTCAGCTAGGTGGTGGCAGGTGACCAGGAGGAGGGGGAACAGGCAGAGAAGCCCTGCCTGCAGACACTGGCCCTGTCTCTGTGCGCTTGCAGGGTGTGGCGTGGACTCCCTGGGGCAATTTCATGGTCACTCAGGGGCCACTCCTGTGGTTCTCCCTCCTGCCATGGCTCCAGAAATCCAGGGTCCACTCCAGTCCTCTTCCCTGGGCTGTTTGCCCCTCTTGCCAGCCCAGGAATCTAAGAGAAACACCAGGCCGGCTCACTCTGCCACTTGTCCCTTGGGAAACACTCCTTTGCCTGAACTAGGGGCAAAGCATGATGCCACTGCCACAGGGCTTGAGACAGACACCAGCCACTGTGTTATCCCTGTGGCACTCAGGGGCATACTCCAAGCTCTGTGAGGGTCCCGAGGAAGCCCTTCTGCATCTAGGATGAGAAGCAGGCCCCCAAGGCTGGCTGGATGCCCCAGCAGCTCTGTCCAAGCCCCTTTCACCCACGCTCTCTGGTCTGTGACTTCGTGTGATCTTGAAGCCACTTGTCAGCCTCCAACTGTGCAAGTTGACGCCTCCTACCAGGGGTCTGACGAACCCCTCTCTTTAGCATCTGACACCTACTGTGCTTGGTGCCACCAGGAGCGCTCGCAGCCTTGTGCCGGTCACACCTGGCTGGACTTGTCTCTGCCTCCACTGCCTGGCCTGGGTACTGGCTTTTTTCTTCCTTAGCACCGCCAGACAAACTGGGTTCCAATCCCAACTTTACCACTTAGGACCTCTGCAGCTTTGGACCTCTAAGACCCACTGGTTTTTTTCATCTGCAAAATAGGGTTGCAGCAGTTGCCTCATAGGTTTGTCATGGTGTTTAGTTGACATAGGGCCTGTGTCACACCCAGCCAGAGTATGTTTTCTTTCCCCTCTGTTTTTGAGCCATTTCCAGCCTCACTGTGCGTGTGTCCTGCTTTCAGTTCACTGATGACTTCCAGACCCCCAGGGCCTCACCACCCATCTCTCATCTCCGAGTCAGAATCAGTGATTCTCTCCCCACTAGCCCTCCCACCTCAGGCTCCCTCTGTTTCCCTGTTAGACAGGGACACTGCCCTGGCAGGGAGCCCCTCCAGGCCTCGAACGAGGCCTGTGATCTAACTGGTACTCCTAAATGTTTGTTGGAGGTGCAAACAAATGGTAGCAGAAAAGGATTCGTGGACTTGGAAATTACTCCGCACCTGTCTGTAGCACTGAGCCTTAACTGGGGGATGCTTCTAGGCGGCAGCCAACTGGAGCAGCCTGCACCCCAGATGGGGTCTCTCGGAGGCACATGTCCAGGAGAGGGGTGGGAGCTGGGCTGCTGTGGTCCAGGCTCCAGGGTGCTGACGCCCCAGTGGAAGAAGGGACATGGAGGCTACATCACCAGGCCAGAACCCGATCGCACTGCTGCATCAGCAGGCCGGCCCCCCTCCTCCTGGCCGTTGGCCTGCTGTCTCCTTGCTGATCCACAGAGACAGCCTCATCATTTTGCTTTTTGGAGACGGCAATTTCACCCGAGCTCTGAGGTTCTCTCTGTGGCAGACCTGAGCCAGGGCCATGCCTTTTCACCATCCTATCCGTCTGACCTTAAAATAATGAGTCACGGAAGAATACAGAACAATGGTCGTCTATTTTTATAGATTTCCCCAGAATTGTAAAGATCGGCTTAATTGCTCTAGCAGGTTCCATCATTTTCTAGAAGGAAACCTCAGATGAGGATAATTTTTTAAGACAATTGGATGAATGTCTTCCTGCCAGAACAAACAGGAAGGTGACCTCAAAGTGCCGACATGTCCAGCCTCCTGGGGCCTGGAGTGGCCTCTTAGGTACACGGGAAGAGGAGCAGGAGGGCCTGGGGGAGGGGAAGAGGCCTCCCTGCAGGCCCTGGCTGGGTGCTTTCCTGGTGCTTTTGATTGGATTCCAACCTCCCAACCCCCAGGAGGAAATATCAGCCTGTCGCTGGTGTTTGCCTGGCTGCCTGGCTCAGTCCCTGGGAGAACCAAAGGGGAGGTGCGTAAAAGTTGGTTCCCCAGCTGAGCCCGGGGCCCGCAGTCCTGGCCAGGTGAGGAGGTGGTGGTTCCAGGCCAAGGGGACAGCAGAGGTGGATGTAAGGGACTCGGGGGCTCATGCGACAGCTCCCCTCCTGCCACCTCTGCACCCCACCTTGCCCCTGCGGCACCTCAAACCTCATCCCTGAATCAAAACTTCTTGTCTTATGACAAAACTAATATATTGTTATAGTTAAACAACCACCACCACCAGCCGGGAGATGTAAAGTGTGGTGTGAAGAACTCCCCCGCCTCACCCACCAGAGGGGGGGAGCCCCAGGAGCCGGCTCAGTGCTTCCCGACACACGAGCATCACGGATGACAAAGCCAACCCTCTGTGACATCCAGACACGCCAGTCAATTCCCTGGAACTGTCACCAGCTTGAGATTTTGGGGGGATGGGGTCTCTTTAGTTGCTCAGCAGGAAGCTCCAAATAGCAGCGTGGCCCAAGCTTGGCCAGACTGGCTGGTGTGGAAGGCCATCTCCGTCCCCGTCCCCGAGTTCCCCACAGGGCCTGACCTCGCCTCACCTGGGGATCCAGCCCCCGGCTGAGCTGAAGAGTCCTGAGAAGAAGCCAGCCTGGCCTCCTGCCAGCCCCACACCGCAGCGGGAGGCCCATGCCTCACTTCCCCAACCAAATAAATCTCTCTGCTCCCTCCGAGCGGCTCCATGATCTTCTCCCGATTAACAGCCTGGCCAGCATGTTCTCAGCTGCTCGCAGCCGACCTCAATTTAGAACTGTCTGTGGTTCGGCTGCTGGAGAAGGAAGGTGCTGGGGCACAGGGCATATTGAAGCAGGGGGGCTGGGGAGGTGGCAGCTGCTGACCCAGCCCAGAATCTGACCAGCATCCCAGAGCCTGCAGGAGGCTGGGAGGCTCGGCCAGGCAGGCTGCTGTACTGGGGGCTTTCAGTTTTCCTAAGTGCTTCTGATGAGAGGGGTGGCTCGAGGGGGTGGGGGAGAAGACGGCTCCCACAGAACTGCCTTTGTAATAGTCACAGCCAAATGGCTGTGTAAGGAACACCTCTGCGTTGTCAGAAAACTGCTTATTATATTCTATAAAAACTTGACAAATCCTTCTCTGAGCTCAGATTCAGAGAAAGGTTAGTCTCTCCTGATTGATGCCTGCATGCCTCCTCCTTCAGGCTGGGGAGAGCCATGGGCAGACCTGCCTCCCTCTGTGTGTCTGTCTGTGCCAGGAAGTGCTTCTTCCTGCCAGAAAGGGTTTCTTTATTTTGTTTCCTGCCTCCTTCGTCTTTACTTCTCATCCTTCACTAGCTTTGAGTCGTCTCTGACCTGTGCCTTTATCCAGTGTGGCTCCTTGGCCTTTAGGAAGGAGTGGTTAGGAGTATGGGATCTGGAGTCTTCCAACCCTGGGCGGGGTTGCAGCTTCACTCCATACCTGCTGAGAAATTGAAAGCTAGCAGCTTGACCTCCCTGACCCTCGGACTCTTTTTCTCTGTAAAATGGAGCCCTGACACACTTTGCGTTGGAAGTGTTGGGAAACGTAGAGTCCCATGAGTAAAGGGCTCGGCACAACAGACACACACATTGAATGCATGGGAAGTGCAAGTGTGAGCCACGTCCTCAAGGGGAAGCAGATGGGACTGAAGCAGCCCGCAGAGAGAGCTGCCACCCTCTCCTTTTCCTTCCCCCACAGGAGGGCAGTCGGTGACCCACACTGGCCTCCCCATTGTGGTCTCTCTGGCCAACAAGGCCGTTTCCTTCAGCTGCAGAATCACCTATCCATACATCCCCGAGCTCAAGAACTTCAGAGTCAGCTACTTTCATGTGGACCTCCAGGGCCAGAAGAGCTCTGAGGAGCAGACAGGCTGCAAACTTCACCAGGGCAGAGAGAACAAGACCCACACCACAGTGTGTCAGGTCACCCCCAAGCTGCCTAATGCATCCGCCACCGGCACCTACTACTGCTCGGTCCACTGGCAGAACTCCAGCATCACAGGCAACGGTACCTTCATCCTGGTCAGAGGTGAGCTTCCTCTGTGGCTTTTTCCAGGACAGAGTGTCCAGAGGTTTCATCCAGCAGAGTTTGGGCACAGGAGCTAAAGCGGGGAATGTCTGCCTTGTCTTTCAGCTTCAGCAAAACAGAGCAAAGCAATCTCGGGAGCCTCTGGCCACACAGATAGGTCGAGACATCCACCTTCGTGTGGGAAGGGCAGAGGCTTGGGGTGTGGCTCTAACTCTGGCCACCTCTGGCTGGTGACCTGAGGCCCACCCCTGGGGCAGGCCAGCACCTGTGAGGCCCAGTAAAAACCTACCCCCTTCACCCTCACCACTCCTGCCCAAATGATCACTAGTCCCAGGAGATGAAATGACTCACCCAGGCCCCACAAGCACCTCTCAGTGGAGCCAGTGCACTGAGGCAGGGACACCTAAGAAGCAAAGGATGTGGTCCTTGCTCTGAACAAGAATCAAGACAGCAAAGACAGAAGGGAACTCAGCTAAGCGAGTGTGGGAATGAGGACTCAGCAGAGGTGGGGCCTGGGGGTCCTTGCCGGGGAGGGTTGTAAGTGGGGTCCCGGGTAAAGGCCTAGAGTTGGAGGGTGGGGTGTGCCCCGGCCTCTCCCAGGTAACTAACCCCTCTGCTTCCTGGCTCACCACCCAGACACAGGGTACCAAGACCCCTCCCAGGGCCCACAGAAGCTCTTGCTCTTTTGTTTCGTTGGCCTCCTGACTGTCCTGAGCATCCTGGGCACGGCTCTGCTGCTCTGGAAGAAGGTAGGGGATACACGCGCCTGCAACGCCGCCCCCAGCCCACTCACCATGGGCCCTGGGAGGGTGCCTGTGGTGGGTGTCCATCCCTCCCTGTCCCGGGCTGGCTGGGCCTGTGCTGCTACCTGGTCACCACCAGGTCCCTTTTGATCTTGTTGCAAGAAACCAGGGCTCTTCAGCCTTTTCCAAGTCACGAGTCCCTCTGAGTATCTGGCGGAAGCTGCAGGCCCACAGGCTTACCATTTCCAGCTCTTCAGATTAGGAACCCCTGTCCCAGGTTCCCGGGATCCCCAGCCACCTAGAAGGAAGGAAGAATTGTGTCCTCAGGGCTGCTGTGTGCCAGGCACCCTCCTCTGCCTGCTCTGGTTTATGTCCTGCTGGAACTCAGGAGGGAGGTTACGTCCCACTTTATAGCTCTGGAAAGTGAGGCTCAGAGAGCCGTGACTTGCCCTCAGTATATTTTGTCCCCACCCTGCTGCACTCCCAGTGATGGGAACAAGTGGGACAGCTCCCGATTTGCTCTCACCGAGCAGCCCCCGGGCTGGAACCTGGGCTTGGACACAGTAACTGAGCCTCAGGCAGGGGTGCGGAGGGGCTCACACCGGGCTTAGCTGTGTGACCACACTGGTGCCTTCCACGAGCACGAAGCATGGCGGGTGAGCGCAGAGAGGGGCCAGGGAGAGACCTTGACCCTGAGCCCCCACTTCAGCCCCTGCTTTGCAAAAAGTGGGCTGTAATGACTGGATCTCGGTGTCCTGTGAGGCCAGGGAGGCAGCTGGTGCAGAGTAGGTGCTCTGTCTTGGGGGGAAGACAGGAGGGGGCAAACCTTGGAGCCTCAGCTTGAGTTCTGATCCCAGCCCCTCCCCCTGCTGCATGGCCTGATGACCCCCACCTTCTTCCTCCCCCTCCCTCTCATCTTCCCTCCTCTCCTTCCAGGAATAGCTGTTGAGTATCTAGAATGTGCCAGGCACTGGGCTAAGTGCCAGACACAGAGGAAAGCAAGACAGATGCAGGCCCTGCCCTCTTGTCAATTTTGCCCCTCTCTGAGTCTCAGTTTTCTCCTCCAGAAATGGGGATAAGGATGGATCTTTGCCCTCACCCAGAAGGGGTAGAAGAGACCACGTTTTGGAGGTACCAGATAGTGCCCTACTCAGTAGGAGCATAATGCGTAGGTGCTTCCTGCCATCCCCTCCTGCACTTGGGGGAGGAAGGGCTCATGTGAGAGCCTGGCCTTGAAGGAGAGAGACCTTGGAAGGCCAGAAGCTACTGCTGGGTTAGCGTTGCCAAAGTAGTCCTCAGAGCTCCTGCAGCTGGATCCAAATTCAGATGTGGACACTGTATTTGCCACCCCAGAATTGGATGGCCAAGGGTGGCTTGTTCCATCCCAGGCCAGCACAGTTTGAACCATGAGCTGAGTGCAGGAACAGGGTATGCAGTGGGGGCCCTGGGTAAGAGGTCAGGCCAGGCAGCTGGCACTGGGGCCCAGAGAAGGGGGCAGAGGAGGAAGAGGCACAGAGGGCCCTTGGAGCACATTTGATAAATGAATCAAAGCCGAGCGTGACTGACCCGGAAGAGGCAGGAGATTCCTGCCCTGAGAGCGGGTTCAAGGCCTCCTACCCAGCTTGGGGTCCAGGTTGGCTTCCCTGAGCAGGCAGCTGCCGATGCTGATCCGTCCTCATCCGGTCGGGGCTTCAGACACGGCAGGCTCTCCCTCCTCCATGGCACAGTCCTTCCTAGGTTCCAGGACTCCCTGGGCGGCCCTGTGCTGGGTCACCCATATTTTCGTGGCCTCTAAACATCAACACGTCCTGGGCCCTTTCCTCAGAGCTCTCCCTGCCTGTCTATACCCTCCGTGACTGCTCCTGCTCCTGGGATTGTATTCTCCACCCAGTGTTGCTGCCCAGGGCCCCCCTCAGGCTCCAGACCACGTTCACACCGTATGGGCACCTACGGGCATCGGCTCCCACCTTGTCCGAAGCAGCACTCGTCAGTCCCCCTGAGTCTCCCCCATCTTGCCACGTGGCACCACACCCCCTGGGTGCTCAGGCCAGAAGCTTTGGTGTTGTGCTTGCCGCCTCTCTCCCCCAACAGCTGATCCTCAGCAAGTCCTGTCCACAGTTCGTCCAGGAGCCAGCCCCTTGTCTCCTGCCCCAACCCCGGCCCGGCCTCCATCACCCCTCCCCGGAGTATGTGTCTCCCTGCTTCCCGCTTGGTTCTTCTCCCTCTGCTCCCCAACCAGAGCGTAAGCCAAGGAAGGAAGAAGTCAGTGTCCCCTGTGTCTGGGGGTACCTGACACATCGAACTTGTGGAAGGAATGACAGAGTAAGTGAGCACTGATTCCTGAAGGATGAGTTGGAGGTGGTCAGGCAATGACGTGGGCAAGGCAACCAACTTGCTCCCATTTTACAGAGGGGGAAACTGAGGTTCTACAGGTTTCCTAAGCTGCTGACAGCCACACTGATTGGTTTATTCATTTGAAAACCACAGTTGGAAGGGTAAATGTTGATGGTCTGGGACAGGGCATCCGGATGGGGCAGGGCTGGCTCCAAAAAGCATCCCCACCCCTGGAACAAAATGCACTGCTTCCGCAGCCTGGGACACTTTCCCAGGCTCCTCTCCTTTCTTCAGGAGACAAGAAAGCCCTCAGAAGTCTGCTGTAGCCCCTTGGCAGACTGGGACTCCTTCTCATGGCCTCACTGTGATATTTACTTCCCCAGCAGCCCCACCAATCTCAGTAAGAGCCACACGAGGCCAGGCCTGGGTCTTGCTCACCTCACCACAGGTCCCAGGAGAGCCCCTACCCGTGAGCTCACACCCACCAGCCTCAGCAATGAACTAGGTGGTGCAAGGGAAGGGTGCTAGATTTAAGCCCAGGGCTTCTGGCTTTGATCCAGGGACAGTCAATGACTAGCTGGACGAACCTCAGTTTCCCCCTCTGGAAAGTGGGAATTCTACCCCCAATCGCTCAGGCTACTATGTGAATTAAGTGACAGTAAGTCCCAGAGTTCTTTGTAAACTGTAAAGTACTTCCCAGATGCCGGCACTTACCTAATTGTCTGTGAGTCCTACACATTCAAACAAAACAGGAGCAAAAACTCCAGGTACCGTCAGGTCAGCATTTTGTTGAATCACAGAGACCTGGGTTCAAATCCTGCCCCTGTTACTGTTGGCTCTGTGGCCTTAGGCAAGTTGCAAGTTCTCTCTGAGCCTTTGCAGCTTCTTGTGTGGGCCATCCAGACAAGAAGGATAGAAGGACAGGAGGACTGATCTCACAGGTTCGTTGAGGGGCTTGTGAGATAAGGCAGGTGATGCATTTAGAGCCTCACCTGGTACCCGGTGAGGCTCCACAGTCCTGAACCATTATTATGCTGTGACTGGGGGTGGCACTGGCTTCTGCCTGGAAGTTAAGTAGCTCTCGAGAGCTAATCCCAAGTAAATGGGCTGGGGATTGGCAGGCAGCCAGGGTTTTTAATTAGCTCCTGCCCTGAGATGAGGCTGTTGTTGCTCCACTGTTGGCAGTGTGGTGCCTGCAATGAGGGGGAGTCCGGACAGCCTCCCTCCACCTTGGAAGGAACTGACTGCACCATCTCCTGCCTCCCAGGGCCCTTGCCTTTCTGACGGCCCACCGCCCGGGCCTCCACAGCCACCCTTAGTGCTTCACGCTGCACCCAGCGGGAGCTTTTTGAGACTGCTTTCTGATCTGGTGCCTCCTGCTCAAAACCCTCAGATGTTCTTTGCTGTCCACACCTTCTCGCAGCCCTGCACAGCCGCCCTGACCCGTCCAGGGCCCCGCTGACCACCTCTGGCCCCGCTGACCAGGCCCCGCCTCGGCCTGTGCTGTTTCCTCTGTCTCTCCTCCCTCTCTTGCCAAATGAACATCTCAGTCTTCAGGCCTGAAACCTCCCTTCCTGCCAGTTGAGGCTTTGTTCCCTTGCACGTGCCAGAGGCTCTGTTCATGTAGGTCCGTGCGTGTAGCACACTTTGGTAAAACCGCACTGGGTCCTGAGCTCGGGGGAGGGCAGGGATGGTGTCCCCCTCTTCACGCCACCTGGACTACCAGAGGTGCCTGACAAGTGTGTGCTGGTTGGCCAAGGGCCACCGAAGTGCCACCCCACTGTCTAGCACTTGACTTCCTCGTCACCTCCCTGAATCTGTGCAACAGTCTCACAAAGGGGGCTTATTGCTGAGGACACTGAGGTCCAGAGAAGGGAAGGGCTTGAGTGAGGCCACAGAGCCAGCGAGGGGCAGAGAGAGACTGGACACCTGGTCTGGCCGGCACTCGCTCAGGCCCCCTGAGTGAGGGCCCTGTCACTGTGCCCTGCAGCGCCTGCCCCCCCAGAGCCAGGCACTGTGTGCGGGCAGCGCCTCACCAGGATCTTTATCATTTCCCGTACTCCCGGCAGATGAGTGGTTTGAGTAGGTCTTGCAGTTATTTGTCACATTTCCCTGGAGAGGGTGGGTGGAAGGTGCCGGGTGATCGATTTCCGAGTGACCTCGTGACAGTCTGCCATCCTTTCCCCTGAGGGGGGCTGAGGGGGTGGAGGGTGGGGAGACAGGGGAGCCGCTGGCCCCCAGGCCTGACAGCCCTGACTCCTTCTTCCACAGAAACAGAAACATGTGGCCCAGAAGTGCCTGGGCCCCCGCGCTGCTGGCAGCCTGGGGCAGCCTCCATCCGAATCCGTCTACACAGTGAGTCCTCTGCCCCCTCAGGCCTGACTCAGGGTCTGCCTCCCTGGCTCGGTCAGTGCACCAGCTCTGTGCCGTCTCTGTGAGCCTTGAGCCTCCAGTTCCTCACCTGTAAACCGGGGACAGGAATTCCCACCTGGTGGGATTTCTGTGAAGGTGAACTGAAGTTACGAGTGCATGGCCCTGGCCCAGGCAGGTGTGTAGATGTGCGGCCCCCTCCTTGGCACGCCCCTCCGCTTCTGGAGTGAGTAGCTGTGAGGGCGCCGTTGGTGAGGAATGGAGAAGGTTCCCTTATCCGCCCAAGTGATGTTGATCAGCTCCTCAACTCCTTCCTGTTTTTATTGCACAAACAAGAATCACAAAAAGAGGAAAAGGTCAGGCAGTATCCCAAGCCCTCAACACATCAATGATTTTCAATTCTTCACTCTCCCCTCCCCGCCACCCACACACACACACACACACACACACACACATCGCTGCATCCTTACAACCAAGCGGAGACACAGCCGGGATGCTGTGTTCGCCGGTCAGCACGTCGCCACTCTGCCCAGCGGCTGGGACGGTGACAAACATTTTTTTCGGTTACATCTATTTTAGTTTCACAAGTAATTTACGCTCATTGTGGAGAAAGTGAAGAATGAATGTCAGCTGGGGTCTCTGCCCCACAGGACGTGAGCCGCCAGGGAGGAGTCTCGGATCCCCAAAGCCAGGCCGGGGTCCTGCAAGGACCCCAGGGGCATGTTCTCCAGCCCTTCTGCCTCCCACACGAGGACTCTGCCCGTCCCTGCTGTCACCATTCCTGTCCCCACCACCCTGATTCACACGTGAAACTTGGGTCTTTCCTCAATGTCCAAAAACCTTGCACAGAGGGTGTTCGGAGTATGTTTACTGTTTACTGAGGACCAGGCAGATGGAGATGAGGCAAAGGCCATGTTCCTGCAGGGCAGCGCCAGCAACCCCAAATGGACCATAACCCAGACAGCTCTCAAGGGGCCTTCAGCCCCTCCACCCCAGGGAACTCCCACCAGCCGCTGCTCCCCACGTGGCCCAGACTTCCTCATAGTCTCTCTTCTTTCCCAGCAGCTCATCGTGGGAGTTTCCCTGGGAGGAACCCTGGTGTCAGCTGTTAAACAGAAACATTTCTCTCTCTCTCTCTCTCTTTCTCCCTCTCCATACAGACACACACACACCACCCCCTCTCTATACATCAAAAAGAAGAAAATGACCATCATCCCAAGCCTATCTTCTTCCAGAATAAATACTAGTAACATTGATTTCTGTACCTTCCAGTCTTTTCTATAAACGCATACAAAGAGACTCATACACACACACGCTAACACACACTTTTTTTTTAATTGGAGTAATACAGCTATTTTTGTTCCTGTTACAGTATCTCATGAACATCTTTCCACATGAATAAATACCCTTCTACAAGATTAGTTTTAATGGGAGAGACTCACTTTTCATGAAACATCTTTCTTGCCTGTGTTTAGGCCTCTCTGAGGCTCAGGCGGACTTCTCTGGAGTGTGGGGAAGAGGCCCAGTGGCCCTTCAGGGCTGCAGGGTGGCTGCAAGAGGTTTTAGGGCCTGGAAGGAGATGTGAAGGGAGGCTGCAGACTCTGCTAGCCTTTGAGACCAGTCCCAGCAGCTGGGGCTGGACTTGGACAGGTAAGAATGACATTAACAACAGTGGTGCTGATGTCACATGTCACTTTTTGGATACCTACTACATGCCAGGCACTGTGGTAGGATTTTACTCCTGTTATCTCATTAATCCTCCCTATCTGTGTTGTCCTGTTTTAACTTTATTTTCTGTCTATTGCTAGTATGTAGAAATACAAGTGGCTTTTGTATGTTGACTTTACAGAGTGACCTTGCTGAATTCACTAGTTAATTCTAATAGTTTCCCTGTAAATTCTTTTGGATTTTCTGTGAACTCAGTCATGTCATCTATAATAATGGAAGTTTCATTTCTTCCTTTTTATTCCTCAAAGTTTCTATTTCTTTCTTTCTTTTTTTTTTTTTTCCTTGCTTTATTGTAGTGCCTCGGGCAGTGATGGTGAATAGCGGTGGTGACAGTGAGCAACCTCAGGGCAGGACTTTTGTGTACTTCTCCTCTACTTTCTTTGAATAGATACTTAGATCACTGATTTTCAATCTTCCTTCTTTCCTCATTTATACGCTTAAGGCTGTGAATTTCCCTTTAAATGTGGCTTTACCTACATCCCACAAGTTTTGATATGTCATATTTTCATTATCTTTCAGTTTAAATTTTCTGCTGAGATTTCCTTCTTGCCCCATGAGTTATTTAAAAGTGTTTTGCTTAATTTTCAAGTGTTTAACTATTTTCTAATTATCATTCTGGGGTTTTTTTTTCCTTGTTAATTCACTGTGACCAGAGAATATATTCTGTATGATTTTATTCCTTTGATGTCTTTTGAGACTTGCTTTATAGTCAGCTTGTATTTCATGTGCATTTGAAGAGAACTTGCATTGTGCATGGATGAGTGAGAGCTCTATATGTGTCAGTGAGGTCAAGTTTATTGATCCTGTTGTTAAAGTATGTCATAGTTTACTGATTTTTTTGTCTATCAGTTGTTATGTGAATTGAGTTAAAATCTGCCCATATGATTGTAGATTTGTATATTTCTCCTGATTATGTCAATTTTTGCTTTTTATTTATGTGGAAAATGCTCACGATATATTGTGACATGAAAAAAAAGCTGTTCTACTCCAATTTGTGTGTGTGTGTATGTGAAAATTGATAGGAGCATGGTTTTGGAGTGAGCCAGACATACTGGGGTTCAAGGCCTAGTTCTTTTGCTCACAGGTTCTGCTACTTAAACTTCCTGCATCTTGGCTCCATAATCTGTAATATAGGGCTAATGATACAGTGTCACATTTACAGCTTGCAAACATACTATGATTTCTTCCATCTTAAATTCCTTACCTTGAACCCACAGCCCCCTCTAGCAACTCTGCCCTTTCTCCACAACGTCCTATAACATGTGTCAAAATTCTGTCTTCAGTATCTCTCTCCTTTCCAACCCACTTAGTCAGGCTTGCTGCCCACCAAAACCTTCCTGCTCAAAGTCACCGTTGACCTCCACCCACGTTGTTAAACCCAGTGGTCATTTCCCAGTCCTCATCTTCCTTGATGAGTCAGCAGCATCTGGCACCATCAAACTCTCCCTCCTCCTTAACACACTTTCTTTACTCGCTTCTGGAACATTCCACCCTCTCCTGATGCCCCTCTGACACTGCCATGCCTCCTCAGCCTCCCTCACTGGTTCCTCCTTAGGAACCAGAGGAGCCCTGACCTCTAAACATTGGAGTCCAGACCTTGGACCCTTTCTTTTTGATCTTCACTCCCCTTCCCGAGTGATTTCATTCAGCCTCAAGATTTTGAGATCATCTACCTTCTGATAACTCCCAAATTTATCTGTTCAGCCCAGCTGTCTCCTCTGAACAGCAGAATCAACTCCATTCAACTCCCTTACCAGCTTCTCTCTCAGACCAATCTCCAATTCCTCACCCATTGGGTGCCTCTTCCCACATTCCTCCTCACACAGTGAATGATGCCTCCATCCTTCCTGGTGCTCAGGCTAAACATTTTGAAGTTGTGCTTTCTTTTTCTCCTTCTCTCATTGCTCACATCTGACCCGTGAGCTCACCTTGCGTCAAGCATGTCTGGAATCTGAGCCTCCCCACTCCTCCAGGGCTAAAGTAGGCGGGGCCGCCACCACGGCTTGCCTGGAGCCCAGCAGTTGATTTCTAACCAGCTGGCCCATTATCATCCTCGCCCCACAGCCTGCGCTCCACCCGCAGCAGCAGAGTGATCCTGTCCAACCGCAGACAGCTCACAGCTCGCTCTGCTCAGAGTCCTGGATGAGTCTAGGTCCCCCAGGAAGCAGACGTTAAGCCACAGTTAAATGGGCGGTGGTTTTATTAGGGAAACCACCTGTGAGAGAGAAATGGAAAAGACTGGGAGAGTTGTCAGACTGATGCAGACGTGGTCCTGGGTGAAGGCAAGGGTAAAGGAAGGCAGAGGGGAAGCACTGACCACCGCACAGTTGAGGGAAGCTTCAGCAAGGCCATCGGGAGCGCCCAATCTGGGGAGTCCCGGGTCTGCCAGGCGGGAGGCTGTGGTGGTATCCCTGCCATGCTCAGAGCTGGCTGGGGGTAGCCCGTGGTGTGTGTGGCCTCTGTGCCTCTGTGCCTCTGATGGGTTACAGAGGCCAGAAGCTGGAGCCTTTGGTCAGTGCTGATCCCTGGAGTTAGAGGTCTGCAAATCACATTCTCAAGACTGCCACGGTCCTTCAGAGTTTCCTGTCTCACTCAGAGTCAACATCAGAGCCCTGACAGTGGTCCCTGAGAGCTCTCTCACTGTCTCTCCCTCTCACTCACCTGCTCCAGTCACGCTGGCCTCCTTGCTGTTCTATAAATGCATCGGGCTTGCCCTACACACCACCCGCTGCGGGGCCTTGCTGTTGGCTGTGCCCTCTGCTCCGGAGTGTCCTTTCTGCAGCTGTCCACGGGACTGCTCCCTCACTCCCCAGCTCTCTGCTCAGAGGGCTCCTTCGCAGGGAGGCTTTTCCTGACCTCCTCACCCACCTCTAGGATCCAACCCCCGTATCTTCCTTCTCTGTGTCTTTTGGTGGCCCCTACAAATACCATTTACTTGTGTGATTGTGGCCTGTCTGGGGCCCCTCCCTCCACACCAGCCCAGTGCCAGGCACACAGTAGGTGCTCAGCGATGAGCAGAGGTCTGTTCTTAGGCCCCAGGTGCCCGGAGTTCTGTGGGACTCGGGGCTGGGCACAGAGTGGGCACCCCGTGGTGAATGTGGGGCCAACACTGTGGTTTCACTCTCCCCAGAAGCATCTGGGCACCTCCCCTCAGCCCTGTTCCAGCCTCCACCTGGCCCAGCGCCCTCCCTCGCTCTTGCCCTCAGGCTCCAGCCCCGCCCCCTCCTCACTGCAGCCGGAGAGGCCTTCCTAACACACCGCTCAGAAACCTCCCGTGGCTCCCCACTGCCAGCCTCTCAGCCTAGCACGAGGGGCCTTCATGGGAGGCCTGTCCCGGCCCTGCCTCCCTGGACTCCTGTCCCTGCAGTGGGCCATTCACTTCAGACATGCCGGGGCCTTGCCCTAGAGCAGCGGGGCCCCTTCTCTCCTGAGTACCAACCGCTTCTCTCTCAGCAATGCCCCCAGATCTCACCCATCTGCCCCCAGAGGGCGTCATGCAAATAATCTCACAGGTGCCCATGACAGCACAGCTCTTTAGTTTCTTTGGTCACAGGGGTGGGTATTACAGGGGGACCAGTGTCCAGGACCCTCAGATTAGATCCTGGCCCAGGGCAGCTGACTTCAGCTCTGGCTCGGCTGGCCTGGACAAAGGCCTCGGCACTGACTTCACACATCTGCCAGGGCTGCTGAACACTTGCGTCAGCACCACCGCGCATACTGGGCAGCAGGAAGCAAAGGGCTCCGAGGGCCTGGGCCCCAAACAAGCAGCCCCAGCCCAGCCCATCACAGCACAGAGCAGAACAGCACAGCCCAGCTCAGACAGAGCAAAGCATAGCACAGCACATGCCATCACTGTCTAGTCCAGCCCTCACACAGCACAGTCCCAGCCCAGCCCAGCCCAGCCCATTCAGAGGCCTGGCCTTCTCCCTGCAGGCATACCCTGAGAGAGGCAGTCCCATCGCCACCAAGGAAGGCCAAGAAGGCCGCCCTGCATTTCACAGCCTAGTGATGCAGGTTACACCCTGCATGCAAATCCAGCCCAGCAGGTCAGGACTTGTCAAAGGCTTCGCTCAGCAGCTGCTAATTGGCAGCAACCTCTGCAGCCTCCCCTACCCTCAGACTTGCAGTGGCTCCCACTCACCCCACGGTGTGGGTCAGAAGCCTGCGGGGTCCCAGGCAGGGTACTATTCTCTGTCTTGGGAATCCCTTAGCCGCATGCCCAGGCCATTGGGAGCACACACAGCCGAGGGCACAAGGGCCTGTGTGACCCAAGACATTTCTGGGCCTCTCTGGGCTAATATGTGGTGGGCAGCCCACATGGACTGGACATGAGAGAGAATGGAGCCATCCGTGGGATCTGAGTTCTGCTCCCCTGCCGAGATGTCAGTAAGGGCATCTTTTCCTCCCTTCTCTCTGTGATCAGAGATGTCCAACCTGGGAGGATGTCAGATCTGTGGAGATCCAGGTCAGGGTAGACTGAGGGTGAGGGCCCAGGGCTGCTGAGGAGCAGATCCCATCCCATGGGCCAGACTTGCTGTCAGTGGCTGGTGCTCTGGGCAGGTGTGAAGGCTTAACAGGCCAGAGCAAGCCTTGGAAGATGTCTTCCACTGGAATTGTGGCTCCTCCTTGGGGTGGCCCTGCCCCCTTCCCTACTCAGAGGCAGGTTAGAAGCCCCTCTCCCAAGGCTTACCCTCTTTCTCACTCACAGGTCCCTTGAACTGGTCCCTAGGGCAGCCCTGCCATCCCTGTGTTTGATGCCCTTGAAGTAAGGGTCTCCCAAGTGCCAAATGGTTTATTACACAGGTTTTCATGCCCCGCTGCCTCTCGGAGACTCCCTCCACCCCTCCCCACCTCCCCTCCCTTCTCTTGCCTCAGAGCACCACCTGTCTCTCCAGCCTGCTTCGACAACCCCTGCTTGCCTGTTGCCAGGGAAACCACCTCCTTGGCAACGAGCCGGCATCCATATGACAAGTACACGTGGGAAGGAAAGGTTCCTGCCTCTTGCTTAGGCTGTTAGTGGCTCTGCTCCGACAACCCCCAAAGAGCAGCCTCTGCCCCTTGACTGGGACCTGGGTGCCCAACAGGGTCTGAGGGAGGGTGCAGGCTATGACCACAGAGAGGGGAGCGAGGCTTGATGCCTTGACGATTATTCAACAGATGATCATTCAACAGTTATTAAGCACTTAAGATTTGCCAGACCCATTGCTAAGCCCTTTATGCACAATTCTTTGGGAATACAGTATTCCTAATAAATAGGAGTATAATATTCCCATTTTACAGATGAGGAAACGGAAGCACAAAGAGGTCCAGGGGTTGCCCATGGCTGGCATGTGTCAGAGCTGAGGGTCGAACCTAGTCTTGTCTGATTCCAAAACTATTTCTTTCCACTATCCTGAGGCCTCTGCTCAGGCTGTTCATAGCTGGACCAATTTGGTGGTGTTCTCCAGGTGTGCCAACCACAGCTATAATGACCCAGAGCACAGCTTGGTGGGAGAGGTACCAATGGGTACCTAGGGCATCTGTGAGCACAGGCTGGGGTGAGGGGTCAAGAGAGGTCTAAAAGGGTGGATGGGTGGGTGGGAGGGAACCTCACAGGGGCAGGACTTTGGCTTAGGGGAGTGAGGGCAGATGCCAGCTGAGCATCCTATTGGAGCCTTGGCCATGGGTGTCACGTCTGCAGGCTGCTGGCTGCCAGGTGCCCGAGAACGTACGGATAGGCAGGGTTAGTGGGATGAGGCTGGGCCCTTCCTCTTGCCAGCTAGGTGGAGATCTCGAGAGCCCGCAGGAACCAAGTTCAAGGCTCTACTAGAGACTTGAGGTGGTGTGAGGGAGGCAGCAGGGGAAACAGAGAGGAGTCTCACTGTATATATGGGAAAGGGGTGAGATGGCTCCAGGAGAGAGTGGCAGGTGCAAAGGTGCGGCATGACGGTATGTGGTGAGGCTGGGCGAGGTGGGCATCCCCTCACCGGCTTGCCCATCCCCTGGGCTCCCTCAGCCCGGGGCGATGTATAGCAGGCTGCTGGGGCCTGGGCCCTGCCCCTCTGTTCCCCTCCCTCTGACCCTCACCCGTCTCCTGCAGGACCTGCAGTGCCGAGAGACCGAGGTCTACACCTGCATCCAGAAGGAGGCCAGCAGCCCGTCCTCCACCCAGGGTCTTCTCTCTCAGGTATGCAGAGGCTGCGGCAGCAAGCTGGGCTCCCTCTCTCACTCCATCTGTCCCTCTCCTCATCCGTGAAATGCGGGTAGGTAGGACCACAGGAGTAAGCCACCGGCTCCTGAATCAGAGCCATCTCCCCGAGGCAGCTGGCCTAGTAGTTAGGAGGCCTGGTGGGTTTGAACCCCTCTCCACCCCTTACCAGCTGTGCAGCCCTGGCCACGGAGCTAACCTCCGTGCCTGCATCTCCTCATCTGTATATGGAGGAGCCTAACAACACTCAGCTCACAGATTTGCAGTGAGGATCAAATGTTGTTCTGGAACCAGTAGGCGCTGTGTGACCACCACCGGGCATAGTGTAGTGTCTACACTGGCCCATCAGGCATGGCGTGTGAGCTGTCCCCAGGCTTATGTTGGCTAAAGTCAGGAGCTGGAGTCTGAGCTGGTACCTGCCTGGGCTGGCCTTGACAAGGCTTCGTTACTGTCATGATGGAGGCTAAGACTTGTCACTTGATCACGCTTCTCTCTTAAACCGCAGTCCGCTCACCTGTAAAGTGGATGAGTGACACTTCCCTCAAACGCAACTGCCCCTGAATTCAAATATTCCAAGTTAAGTAACATCTACACCAGTGTTTTGGACACCATAAAGTGCGAAGGCTGGGTTCAGGAGCCCACGGGCAGTGGGTGGGCACCTTGGAAGAGCCATCAGGAAGTGAGGTGGCTGGTGCTTGGCCCCCCTGACCCAGGCTGACTCTGTTTGTTGAGTCTCTTATTCTCCAAGCCCTTTCTATACTCATTCCTGAACTTAGCTCTGACTGGAGGCAGGGCTTCCCCACCTCAGGACCCCCACGGATGTCTGGGCCATCCCAGGCAGTGCCCACCCTATGCCAAGCCCTGAGATCCTGGCCAGGATGCCTAGACATGTCCCTGCCCTCCAGGATTCTCAGGTCTGCAGGAACAGGGTCACTGATCTTACAGACATGCAGACATTGTAGCCTCCTGTGAAGAGTGGGCTCCGGGGAGGGACTAGACCAGAGCTGGGGAGGGGGCTCTCGGGACACTGAGCCAAGCCCTGCAGAGTCAGTAGGAGACAGTCAGGGAACAGGTGGGATGGGGGAGTACCCCAGATGGAGAAAAGAGCATGTGGGGAGGCCCAAGGCAGGAAAGAGAAGCCCCGTTGGGCTGGAGGGCAGAGAGCAGGGGTGGGTGGAGAAGAGGCTGGTGAGGTGGACTTGGGAACAAGGACAGGCCTCCCTGTCAAACTGCATGGGAAGCCATCTGTGTGTCTGCCTCTGACTAAAACTAAAGTCATGCAAGTGTGTTCTTTTCCCTCCCTACTGTTTTGTTTTGTTTTGTTTTGTTTTTCTCCCCAGGAGAAACAGCGCAGATTTGAGGATGACAGTGAATTTAACCTGGTCTATGAAAATCTCTAGGACCAACTCCGCCAGCCCACAGGTCTTGCCCTGGGTCAGAGGCCCTGGGGCAGCCTCTCTTTCCGGGGGACTCAACCTACACCAGCAGTGAGGCCCCAGGGGTGCCCCATCACCTCGCCCTCACAATCCAGGCCCTCTTGCCTTGGCCGGGGGGCCCAACCACTCATTCTGCAGCCCAGCCACACCCTCTGAGTGTTCCGCATTTCCAGGCCTCTGCCCAAGCTCTTCCCTCTGCCAGGCGGGCCCTCCCTCAGTCTTCAAGGACTCTCTTGGACACCACCCACTCCCAGAGCCCTCCTCACCCTCTCGAGAGGCATAGGCTCCCTTGCAGCTGCCTGCACCACCAGGAGGTTCCAGCCAGGAGCCCTTGTCAGTGCTGTGTGCACAGGCATTGTGGAGTAGATGAATAAAGGAGCAACTATGCAGATGCCCCCTGCCCCGTGCCCCCTGCCCAACTGGGCCAAAGGCACAAGGTGGCCCCGCAGAATGGAGCAGGGGCTGGAGTGGGAGGTACAGAGTTGGGCAAGAGTGAACCATGCAGAGGTTGGGCTGGGCTCAGTGACAGAGCTGGAGGCTGAGGAGGTGGCTAGTGTCTGTCATCAGACCTGGGGCCGGGATCTGGGAGGGGCCGGGCACAAGCAGCTGAGTAAAGAGTTCAGGGGACTGGGGGCAGGGGAGGGGGAGGTCCAGCTGAACAGGTGCTGAATGGCTTGAAGCTCTGCCTCCCCCAACAAGGACCCCAAGGTTGTTTCCTCCTGGCCTGGCCCTCTACACTCAGTGCCAACTGTTTCATCACCCCCTGCTTCTCAAACCTTCCCCACCCTCAGGGCCTCAGCTGCTCCTGCTCCCACTCTACAGCCTGGTTCCCCAAAGCCCCCTCCATCTGGCCTATCTTGGCCCCACCCACCTCCTCTGTCTTCATCTGCCTTATGCCCCAGCCCAGCCCCCCGGGGATGGAGGCCAGACCAGCTCCTTCCCTCCCTGCCCAGTGCCACTACCAGCTGCCTCGAGGCCACTCCTCTCCATCATAGTCTAGCTGCATGGCTCGGTTCTCGGAGCTTCCCCTGGGTGGGTGGAGGGGTCCCTTTGTGCTGCAGAAGCTCAGGCCCTGCGGCCCCTCAGTGTCTGGCCCTGAGCCATTTCTGCTGCTCCGGGTGCTCATATTACCCCTCCTGTCACCCTCACAGCAGCTCTGCACTCTCACCCATTTCAGAGGCAGACAAGGGCAAAGGGTGGGTCACCCGAGCTGTTGGGCCCTGCACCCTTCCTCTCCTGCTCTCCCCCAACCCCTCCTCATGGTCCACTGTTGCTCGTTTATGAACTGGGCAGGCCACTCCTCCCTCCCCACCCCCAGGACTGTGCCCGAGGTCCCTGAGGTACCCTCACACACAAACCCCTAGATGCCTGGGAGGATGGGGGCTCAAGGCCCAGGCTCCGACCCCGCCCCTGAGCAGCACTAGCTACCAGCTTGTAGACAGCACCATTAACTCAGCAGGTCAGGCCCCTCCCACAGGAATAGAAGGGCTGGGGGTGGGCATAGACTGATGTCCGGAAGAGTCCCAGCCCCTCTGCTGGGGCGGCACAGGGCCTCGGGGCCCACCGGACAGCCCGCAGCCTCCCAGCTTGGTTCCAGGCCTGGCCTTCGAGCGCACAGCAAGGACCCTGAGCTGGATTACAGGGCTCGTGGGGAGGGTGCAGTTAAATGAGCTCCTCGCCTGTTCAGTGTGCAGAACTGTCCTCCAGGCTCCTGACTCCAACAGCCCGAGGCAGAGGCCAGGGTTGAGGTCGGGGTGAGGGGAGACTGGTCACTCAGGGCGCACCGAGCCGCTTCAGGAAAAACCAAAGAAGACTAGGAGGCGGCTGCCTCGCTGGGCCTGGGCCTCTCTGTCCTCAGCCCCTGGACCCCAGACCCTCAGGCTGGGAAACCTTCTTTTCCAGCTGGTCCCGGGGTAGTGCAGGGAGCCTGGAGGGACTGCAGCCCCCACGCCCTGGCCCAGGCCCCAGCACAGCAGCCCTGCCCCCACAGTCCTCTCACCACGAACCAGCCAAAGGATC